TCACTTCAAAACCAAAATTTGTTAGCTGTTTTCAAGATAATTTGTCTTACCTCCAAAAAGGACTTTGCAACATAGCATCAAGAAGATTGTTTCTCGCTTTTATCGGGTGATCCACTAAATACAACTGTCTTGGCATGGTGCAGTTCATTAAAAGACTCTCATACGTTATTTAACTTATATGTACTTCAGGATGGTGTCAAGTGACACTCTGCCAAGCCAATACGGATTGCCAATGAAGTGTACTTTGTTATGAAAAACTTGCAAGCAATTCCCACCAAATTTTAATTAACAAATACCACCTGGACAGATGAGTCTGCAAAAACTAAAAAAACATCATTAGTATATTCAATCACTTTTCAATCACATTTCAATCAGAACGTAGATAATCATGTAGCCGCCGGATAACATAGGCAATAGATAGAATTTTAGTCACTTTTACGGCATACGGGAAACGTGAATGCGTACCACGTGACCAAGTTTTCCCCTTAATTGTTGTTTGCTGTTTATTACTTCCACGTAAAAATAAGCAGTTTCATGCCAGTGTTTATTCTTAGAAATTCTCAACTTGAATTTGACGTTTGCCGTAAACGTGATTCTTAATCTGTCTAATGTAATCAGCTCACGGAGTCTGCCACTTCGACGCACGTATACGCTAACACTGATTGCCGTATACACCATTGCCGTCTGCACCACTACGTTTAATAGCGGAGCTCCCGCATACTTCAAGCAGCGTAAGAAAACCTGCAAGTAACCGGCCTGTCGTTGGGCAGGCTCAGTCTCCAGCCCTATGTGTCTCGATGCGCCCGCGGTACTCTCCACCCGACGGCTGGGCGCACGCACTAAACAGGGTGCGTCTTTTGGGGAAAATCCAAATCTGGATTTCGAGATCCAAAAACGGATTTTGCGTTTTTTGGGCAAATCCAAAAACGGATCATGAATCTATAAAATCCACACTCAGGGTGTATTCTTCGGATCAAATCCAAATCCGGATTTTTTAGATTCATAATCTGAGCGTTTTTTGGGGAAAGGATTTGAAAAAAATATTTCTGATGCCGTACATGTATGACATTCTAACTGAACCTATGTTGGTGGCGCCTTAACTTTGCAGAGCCATGAGTTACATATCATTCCATGTTTGTCATCCATTTACATTCGTCGACTGTTTTTAAACCCTTACTTGTCATGCTTTTTGTATATCAGTTTTAAATTCTTATAATTTTACTATCCTATTCGAGAAACGTTTATGTTTCAAACTGAAATATATATACATATGATATATTCATACGTATCCTACGTTGCTTTTTCTTCTTGTCTTCGCCGCGAGGATTAGTTTGTTGTTTTTTCCCTCCATTTTCGTCATCACGAGGAGAACGAGGATATGCCGTTGTCTTGGTAAATAATCCTTTTTCGGATCTTTTGTTTTTTGGTAGTGAAGAATCCATATGATCTGCGATCACAAATCCGTTTTTGGATTCTCCCAAAAAAACGCACAAGACGTCATGATGTTTACTGAGTAATTTATGCATTACGAATTTTCCTCATCAAGGAGCTTGGAAGTAGTGGGCGAAAAGAGAGAACGGGCGCGCGCGAGCGAGACACCTCCCGCGTGTCTCCTTCTCGGGCACCTATTTTTTTTCTTGTGCCCACTACTTCCAAGCGCCTGCTACGCTAAGTAAGTGGAGAGCGGTGCGAAGTGCGCAATGGCATTACGCGCCAGTTTTTTTGATGTTGCAGTTGTCCGCGTAAGGGTCTGGAAGCCAATCAATCCCGTCATTCCTGAAGCGACTGACCAAGATGGCGGTAAGTGTGATCCCGTCAACTATAACTTTTAACTTTTTCTGGCTTTGAATCGATTCAATTTGAGTGACTGTTTTTTTTAGACTGATCGGAAGAAAAAAGAGAGCATCTTTGAATTATCCAAATTTCTCGATAAGAGAGTCCGAGTGAAGTTTCAAGGTGGCAGAGAAGGTAAGTGTAGGCATTTCTTTATAAAAGCAAATGTTCAGTAAGAAAAAATGCGCCCAGTTTCAATTCGACGCGCTTGTGACACGCCTCTGTACTCTGTGAAACCAGAAGTTCCAAAATTATCAGAAGAGTACTTCTTTATGGTCAATCTTTGATAATATTTCAACTTTCCTGGGAGAAAACACTCTCTCTTCACTGCCAGCAAGCAAGACTTGCAGGAAATAAATATCTCAGCTAGCCATGTATAATGAGGGATACTCCGGATTTCAAGTGACGGGGGTGATCAAATGGGGGCAAAAATCAAAACCCAAAAAAATCCCTAGACCAAAAATTAACCTCCAAAAAAACTCCCATGGCGAAGCTCCAAGCCTTAAACATTTCCAGAAAGCTTAAATGATATAGTACGTTGTGCTTCATTTGGTTGTAGTTATTTGCAGAACTACGATGGTCACTACCAGGAATCTTCAGATTGTTTTGAATACCCCCAAAAATTCCTACTTAAATCAAGCTACCCAAAAAATACTTGCCACATTTTCCTACCCAAAAAAATCCCGGAAACGAAAATTTCAAACCCCGAAAAATCCTTCACTTAAAATCTGGAGTACCCTCCCTTGGGTTTTACCCCATCTAACTGTTCACCAGTCAAGGAGCCCAATTTTCTCTTAGTAAATGGAATGTTTCATTTTTTATTTGTACCCACCTCCCCTTGCATGGAACACATGATTCCACCGGGCCCTTTTCTGTTTGCCCCCTATGAACGGTAAGATTCTGACAGGCTAATTCTGCCTGAAATTTGGATTGCAACACCGTTGTAATTAGGGATTGTGACAGCTACCATACAGGGAAGAATTCAATTCTGACTCCACTTTTAAATCAAAATTATAATGATTCTCAACAGTGGTGTTCAATAGTGATTCTGTGGCCCTTATACATGCGTGTGTGATGTATATGACAATTGGAATTTCCAATTAACACCAACACATGTTGAATAAGATTATAACATGTTAGTGGTTGAAATGTCATACCAACAAAGTGACCCTGTCACAATGACACCATGATCTTTCATTGTTAAGTTTTCTAATGTAGTTGCAACTTGTTTTTCAGCCACAGGGGTATTGAAAGGTTATGATGCATTACTAAATGTAGTACTAGACAACACAACAGAACATTTGAGAGGTGGGTGATGTCTAATTTTTTGTGCCCACATTTACAGTACCTCAAGTCCTGAGATATTAGTATAACTTCTAAAAATAATTAAAACGTGCATGTTACAATGGCCAAAAGAACACAGGCACCCTTCCTGCCAGGGGCATAGCCAACGCATAGACCTGTAGGCCCAGGTCTACAAATTTTTTGTTCGATCACTCTACTGCTTTAATTATGCATTGTTGGGATGAAAGCCTAAGAGCTCAAAGTGTTCATGAGGTCAGTGCGTACTAGTCATGCGTGCAATTTTCAGGATGGCTAAGCCCCTGCCCGCTGGTGCAGCTCATAGACTTTGACAAATACCTTGATTGCATTTCTAAAGCTGCTGACTTCTTGTTAGTAATAAAAACAATGAGAAGAGAACCTTCAGTGTGATAATATTTTTTATTACTAATTCATATCTGTGAAACTGTCAATTTTCTTACAATCACTGACTTGTTACTATCAAACTGCTCTCGGTGAAACACCCTTTCCAACCACTACAAGGAATATTTCAGGCTACCTCTCTCTTCTCTTGGAGTTATATTCCAGTAATCATAAAAGGTAAAAGGTCGTACACATTATGCTGAGTTACTGATGTGGAGGAAACTAAAGACAGTGATGTGATCCTTAGTACTACCCAGTTTAGTACTAGCCACAAGTTTATGACAAGATTGGCCTTTTTTTGTAATTTTATTTGTCTCTTTACCCGTAGATCCTGATGACCCATTCAAACTAACTGATGAAACAAGACAGCTTGGCTTGGCAGTTTGCCGAGGGACTGCTGTAGTGTTGATTTGTCCTGTAGATGGAATGGAACCTATTGCAAACCCATTCTTACAACAAGAATGATGGCAGCTTGTTCTGCGACTCTTACTTTTGTGTACTATCATACATCAACTGTTCTTCTCTAGTGGACTCATAGTCTTGTAAATTAACAGAACTGTGAACACCTAAAATATTTCAGGAATGTTTATTGTGTTAGGACCAATTACAGAAAAGATCAAAACACCTGAGCCAACCACAAAACCACAGACTAGTTGCTGCAGTTTAGTTGTCCTATGCCTGATTGGCATTTCAACACAATAACATTCCAGAAATATTTTTGGTGTACATGGTTTTGTTAGTTTTGCAGTGCGCACATGCATGTTTTATAGTAACCTTTGCAAAGAATTTTGGATATCTCAAAAATTTTTTGGTTGGTCCCTTTTTTAAGATATAAAGAAGGGACAGCAAGATGTTAGGAAAGGGGTGGGGGAGGGGCATTGTTTTTGATAAGCTAGCAGTAAAAGAAATAAACATGTAGAACTTGACCAGTTAGTACTGTTTGTCATATCTTACATTGTTTTCACAGTCTTTCATGTAATTGTTGATTTGCATAATATATGCAGACTTTGTGGTTACTTTATTTCTTTAATCCCCACATCACCCCAACTCCCATCCTATAATTTAATCTTCAACTATAAAACATGGAATGTGACTAGCTTGAATTGGCAAGAAACTAAAGCTTAATATCCCAAGAGGTACCCTGGGTGCCAGAGGCTTTTCATGCGCGGTTTCTGGACAGTTTCTGTCAAGTCTTAAAAAGTGACCAGTGCGAAAAGCCTCTACACCAGCGGCCTGTGGCCGACAAAGCTCCTCGTCGGACACTTTCCCACACTAAATATGAAGGTGTTTTTAAACTAGCCTGAATTTCATCCAATTACTTCGAGTCCTTATTACTCCCTCAGTAACGTCTTTACTGAGGGAGTTAACGTTGTTACTGTCCGAAGTAATCGGATGAAATTCAGGCTATTTTTCAACAGGGAATGCACAATTTTGTAATCAGACATTGGTATTTTATTTATTATGTGTGAACAGATTTTAAGCAGCATGACAGTCAAATAATAAGATCATAGTACTTTTCATTTTACTTAATATTAAAGTACAGGGTTCGTAAAGATATTTGGATCCAAAATTCAGACTCAAGGATCAATTGAGACCTTGAAAAATGCAGGAACAAAGCTTTTTTTCATGGATGCACGGCAAGCAGACTCTGTACAAACCCTAAAAGTAGAACAACTAGAATAACCCAAAACTTTTGTACAAATATTAATCACTCAAGATTTTCTCCCACCCACCCCTTCAATTCTTTCTTTCCTCAAATGAAAAATTAATAAATGATTCCCCTCACTATTTTACCCCATGCTCATTGCAAATAATAGGAATTAATTATCCCCCAAAATCAGCACACGTGACCTAGTTTTTGAAGAGACTATGTTGTACAAGATAAGGATCATATTTCGCATTTCTTTAGAAAACCATGTGAAATAATCAATAATCAACCGCTTGCTGAATCAATAATTATTGATTCCAACAAAGTTGGTACCACTGGACATACTGATATCTAAATGTTATACAAGAATTTACAGAAACTGTTGGATCAATTTTATAAAAATGTTTAAAGGCAAGAGATCTTTGACAGGGTCAGAAGACTTGCAGAAGGGTTAAGTTACACATACAGTACCTCTCTGTGAAGCTGTTTTTCCCTATCATGAGCTCACTCCAAAACTATAAATAATTACCTCACTTATCTCTCTAGCTACAGCTGTAACTCAAACCTATATTAATGTACTCAGTTACTGTAACAAATGAGTTACCTATGTGACCTTTATAACAAATTAATGTAGTAAGCACAAAAATAATTAAAACTACATTTAAATTTATAATTTACATGAATTAGTTCCTTCATCTGTAGCAAACATTTTTAACTAAGTATTTAAATTTATCATCCTCAATTCTCAGTCTTTATAAGTCTCTGAGTTTCCGGTGGATCCTGTGGTGTTCGTGGACCTTCCCTACTCAGGATTTCATCCTCACTTTCATTACCACTCGTTAGTAGAGGTTCATCAGGACCCTAGAAGAAGAACATCAACAGTATAATTATTCAATTAAAAAACAACACATAATGCAGCAAGCTAAGTCCAGGTCTTAACAAAACATTCCAGTTTGTTAATCACACATTTTGATAAATACACAGTCTTATTATTTACAAAAGCGATCTGTGAAAAAAAATTAACCTCAATCCCAGGGTTCTCTTGTTTCCCAAAAATATGGTGGTTGCATGGGAGAAACAAATTCCAATTTTTAGTGAAAATTATAAATAAATAAAAATAAACTTGCTATAACTAGCTGTTCCTTAAAAGACGACAATGGGTGAACATATGTAACTCGATGAGCAGATTAACTCCCTTGGCTTGTTTCTTCCATGATGGTAGCCACGGGTGACATGAACAAATAAAAACATAAATTATAGGCTGAGAAATTCCTGTTACACGTAGACATGTAATGAACAACTTTTTAATTTTAGCCTTTTCTATCTTTTTTTTATTATGACCATTACTATTATTATCATCAAAGATTTCATTACCATTATTATTTTTATAAAGAAAGAAAAAGGAAAAAAAGAAGAGAAAAAGAAAAGGCAGAAAAGAAAGCCAAAGAATAGAGTGGAAAGGGAAATGAAAACCTTCCGAAGGTTATAATAATACTAGAAAGTAGGAAAATTAATGATGACTGATATTTTGAATGAATGAATTATTCCAATAACATGATATTCATTAATGGCATCAGTGTAGACCAATAACCAAATTTCCATGTTCCAACTTGAAACCTTTAGTGCTATGCATCAGATAAAACTGCCCATGACCTACATGTAAAGTCACATGATGTGTTTCTAGGTCCCAATAGTGTACACGTGAAAAAATATTTTTCACTTAGTTTGGTTCATCAGCCAATATGTGGAATCTACCACTTTACTTATTTATCCTAAAGTTATGAATATATGAAAAACATATATGTGAACTGCAGGGTGAAGACTTATATGAAAGTAGATCATCGTAGTTATAGACGCAGCTTTTGCAAGTTGCGAAAAGAAAGCCTGATTCAGGCTTGTACGGGATTCAAACCCTTGACCACTGTGATACTGGTGCAGCTGTCTTACCACTTGACCTAACAAGCAAACCTGCTCCCAGTTGGCTTGTTAGCTCAAGGTAAAGAGTGCTGCACAGGTATGGCAGAGGTCAAGGGTTTGAATCTTGTACAATTTTTTTCAGGCTTTCTTTTCACAACTGCAAAAGTTGCCTCTACAACTGTGATGATCTACTTTCATATAATTAGTTATTGTACATAGGTAATACACTGTTAAAGGAGCTGTGTCACCAAATTTATCATATTCAAACAGTGGCAATTGCCACCAAACTGAGTGAAAGATAAAAATAACCGCTCAAAAAACAAAAGGTGTAATTAACACAACAAAATAAAAGGAGGCACAGATGGACAAACTTATTTTTCAAAGCTCATTTCTGTTGTTTGTAACATCTAATAATTATAACGCTTGGACGACATGCAGAGGAATTTCTCCTTTGGGACACCTGTATTCAAAAAACACCTCCATTCATGATCAGACAAATTTGGTTCCAGAAAAATGTTCACATAATCTCTGTATCGGTTACCTCTATTGAAGGACACATTTATTCAGCGGAAAGGGACAATATTTCTAGGGTTCCGAAACCAAGGTTTAACCTCTCTTTAGGGGTGGAACATCATAGTGAACTCAAAACGTAACTGACCACAAAGAGGGCTGATAAGTTAGAGTGTAAACCAATCGCAATGATGAAAGCTTTCACAACATGAACAACCTCACTTAAACCGATGTACTGGACATACACAATGCCGTAGAGAAACGTTAATTGTCTGGCTGCTTGAAATAATGACTGCAGCAGATTCCGATGCAGAATAAAAAACATATATTTTCTTTATTGGTTAATTGTTAACAAACCCCAGCCCTACCTCTATTCAGGGGACACCAGCCTCGGTCTTGAGGGTGTCCAATGTAATTCTTTGACATGAAATAAGCTGTGATTTTGTCATTTACAAGTAATAGTTAGAAAGTAATGTGTTAAAATACCTTGAACTAGAGAAGACATCATGTCTTTTTACACATTCAACAAACAAAAAAAACCTACAAACTGTGAAAACTGTAAAAATATAAACTAAAAGTCTTGAGCCTCTTCAGTCATACTGACTGAAAGATGTGATGTCTTCTTCTACAGTACAGCAAATAAGGACACATAACTGGCATACAAAATGAACTAGCCAGCAGTGACACAGCCCGTTGAAAAGGTAAGTCAGAATAAAGAAAGGGCGAAAAGCACAGAATACTAACATGCAATCTAGATAGATGCTGAGAAGGAAAGGGGAGATAAAACAAGAGCGAGGAGGTTAATACCATTCTTCCTGTCCACAGCCTTTTCAGATCACCACGCAACCAGCCAATCACATAGCCAGTTATCAGCGTACATGGCACCAAGTACAGCAAGGCAGGCTGTCCTTGTTGCATCACAAATAACATAACAAATGTTAGGAGCAAGCCTATGCCATAAGCTGCAATAAATCAAACAAAATCAGTTCAGTCCTTAATGTTATATTAGTAGGTACAATTATACAGACTTAACCACAGGCCGGTGTGGTTCACAAATAGCAGAACATTCATTGTCAAGGGTGACAACAACTTTGAACCTATTGTGAAAGAATTCGCTATATACCTACATGTGATATTATTTGCTCCTGTGGTGTTCACATTGTGTTAAATAACAAGTTAAGTGTCCACTTAAGACTTTTTTTGTCAGCAAATGGCTGACAATAACTAGCAGAGTCTTTATCAGCTGAAAGTTGACCAAAGATGATGCAGATCATAACAATGACAAATTACCGGTAAATAAAAATGCAATGTACGGGATTTGTAACTGTCAACATGTACTTGTTGTTTACTGCATTATCAGATCACCAAGAGCTACAAAATATGTATTGTTACAAGACACGTACATAATTATATAAACAAGTCTTTACTTTCATAAGAGTTTAACTTACACATAGTTCTAGTCTCACCTATGGTAGTTGCAAGGTAATATATTTTTCGCGGTGTGTTTGACATAATGTCAAATGAGTGACAAAACCCTATATACAATGCTGTGAAAAAGAAAAATAATAATTTATTAAGCTTGATACATGTACTTTCTGCAAGTACAGAGAGACATTTCATCAACTGTCCTACCCACTTTATAAGAAAATATAATGGTTAATATTGTACACAATCTTTCCTACACTTGTAACATTCACCAATGCAAACAAAATTTTGGTGGACTTAGCTGGGCTCAACTTTTTTTCCCAATACTTATCCTTTATTGCTCGTTAATTTCGCGGGTCTTTAATTTTGCATTTTTTGAGATTGTAAAAATTCACGAAATTAAAGTCAACCTGCAAAAACAATCCTTGCAAATTTTAAGCACGCAATATTCAATACTCATAGAGAAAATTCAAATAACAATATTTTATTAACACATAATAGCAATGATGCGTATCGACAAACACAGGTTGCTAACTGGTTTTACCGGTATGCTCCATTTTGTTTGTATCATCCTTTGTGAAATAACTTTCGTTTGCAAAGATTTCACACATTGATTGTTCCAGTTTATCTAACTTTTTTTAAAGGTTTAAACTTAAAAAAAAAAAAAACGAAAATGAAGTTGAGAAAGCTCAAATTGTAAAATTTAATGCCCTTTTTCATATTTACCAGTTAAAATTGTGAAAATAAAAACCCCCAAGTTACTGGCTCCCCAAATTCACGAAATTATAAAGTTCTAATAATCAGGTTCTAGTTATTTATTTATCCGGTAAATAATGCTATCAACCTTTTCAGCTGCTAGGGCCAGGAATACACTTACAGGGGCGTAGCTAGGGGGAGGGGGGTCCTGGGGTGCCTGTGACCCCCTCTTGGTAGGCCTTCTTTTGAGCAAACAACCTACAATAT